AGTAGTACGTCGTAGAGGATAAAAAGTAAAGAAAGAAAGAACATATATCGATTGTGTCGTCATTGAGATTATTATGAGAAATTTTGCCCAATGATTTATTTTTAGAAAGCAGAGGACAGAAAGCACGATCAATTAGTGTGGAAACGCATACATTTCTACATATCTAGAGAAGAAAACTTTCCAGTTTATTCCACTTTAACAACAGTACAAGGGATATTAGCTGTTCATCTATTGTAAGTAAGTTATCTAGATGGCTTGACCAAACGTGACGCTGTGACATTTTTGACACACTAAATCGCTCTTATCTGATAAACTATTAAAGCTAGTGAGTTCGTTCAAGCGTCATCCGACGCAGCTCAACGCCCTCTAGGTCCAGTAAAGCGAAGAGAAAATTTGATTTGAGTTTAGCAGTTTTACAGCAAAGTTTTAGAGCGTGACGCTGTGATAAAAAAGGCCCATTTTTCTTTGGTATCTGATGGATTTTTGAAAATTTTCTGGAAAAATCACTGGTGAAAATTTTTATTTGTGAGCGGTTATGTCGAGGAGAGAACGGTCGACACGTTAGTAAAAAGAATTTCATTTCAGGCTCCTCGTGGATCGCAGAATCGCTATTTTATTACCGTGGCGCTGCCACATTTTTCGTGACGCTGTGACACTTTCTTTTTTGAGAGCAGCCCCCGATACTTAGCACGGCCAAAAGAACTTCATTTTTATCTTTACCAGAGCTCTTCCTAGGTACTCACGATTTACGGAACTGGTACTCCAAACTTCAAACCCCAGCTGGAAAATAGCCCGAAGCCTGGAAGTCTCTGAAAAGCCTGGTGCTCGGCGAAAAAATTCACTATCAAGGCAAAATACCCCATTTTGTAGAGAATTTAATTCTCTATCAACTAGTGTACTTTCTATATTTTTTAGACAGAAGTTCTAGGTCAGAAAATTGAAATTGAAGTTTTTTAAAAACTTAAACTCAATATTTTTTCGCCAAAAACCAAAATTTTGTTTTAAAAGAACATGAGATTCGTAATCGGCGTGAAAAACTGCGTTTGGTACTGTGCTTGAATCACTTCCACAATGGAAAATGCTTTTTTAAAAACTTAATCAGCGAAGTATCGCGTTACGTGGACAAGCCGTAGAGTCTCCGCTCAGATTTATAATTTGATAACGCTCTCTATATCTTAACGTAGATCATTTTCGAAACAATACGATGAACAAATCAATGTTATTAATTATTGTCGTTGTTATACTATCATTATTATTATTTATGCTTGACCTCACGGAAGCCGCTTGTGGATGTAATAAATGGTGTCGGGATCACGATTCTAAATGGGGGAAATGCGGTGATGGGCATACGTGTCTTTGTTCCAACGGTTCACAGGGTAGGTTAAATTCGTCTTACCAATCTTTTAACACTGATACATTACGTTTCTCTGCTTTTGCTTTGAAGAAGACATGACGAATGGTCAATCAGCAAATGGTTGTGGATGCAATAAATGGTGTCAGGATCAGGGTCATAAATCTGGGAAATGTGGTGATGGACATACATGTATTTGTGACGAACGGAAAAATAGTAGGTTGCATTCCTTCTATACTGTTTTAACACTGTAGTATTATGTTCAGTCAGTTACTATAGAGGAGAAAGACCCTTCAGCTGGTTCTTGAACGCATCTTTTAAACTTTTAACGGTAGATCGTTTTCCATTGTCAAATCGAAGTTTTTACGTTTGTCTCTAAAGCATCTACATTCGTTCTAGGCATGCACTAAACCGAGACCGCTCGTTTTCTTTCTTTTAGATAAGGTAAATCGCTGATATTTGAGACAAAAAATTTGAATCTTTTTCTTTCTGTTCTCACGGTTCAAAAAATATAATTTTTTAATTACTTATAGACACTAATCACCTGTAATTAGGGTTTTTCACCTTGTTGGAAGTATTATCGATATTTGAGGCTGACAGAGAATTCGCAAACTCAATTTTCTGGATTCTTTCTGTTTTGTGCTAGAAGCAGATCTCTAGAAACCGCTCTTCAAGAGAAAAAAGAACTTTCACAGTATTTCATCTTGAAGATCGACTTGTACATATTGAATTAATATAAAATTGAATGTGTACAAATTCTCTGTCAGACTCAAATCTGGATAGTGCTTCCAACAAGATGAAACACCCTAATTACAGTTGATTAGTGCCTATAAGTAATTAAACAATTATATTCTTTTAACCAAGAGGGTCGAAAGAAAAAGATTCAAACTTTTTGTCTCAAAGAACAACGATTTACCTTGCCCGAGAAAAAGAGAATGAGTCCACTGGAGACCGGAGTGCACCTGAACCGAGTAAGCTCGTGCTCGGTTCGGCCCCACTGGTGATGAGCGTACTCGATTTGATGCATGCCTAATTTGTTCAGACGATTTTGGTGGAATTTTCGATCTTATCTTTTTTCACTTATTTAAGCGAAAAAATAACGAGTTTTACATGGTTTCTGCTAAGACCTACGGCAATTGCGCGTTAAATCTAAAAATACGCATTCTTATTTTGGCGGTTCAATAAGTGAGCGGAGTCGAAGAAAGTTTTAACGAATGTCTATATGAAGAACATACCTACCCTTATTCTCTGCTTCAGGACGAGTGTTCTTCTTTCCCTTAACCTTAACAGTTGTAAATCAATTTCGGAGGTACAGTACCAACCTTACCCGCACCACCCGCAACATGGAAAGAACATTGGTTCGAACATCGTGAACTGTTGACGAGAGTATATTACGACAACGATTTAGCACTTTACTATGAAAAAGAAGTTAGTCGTGCAACAATTCCAAAGGTATCTAAATTTCTTGGAAATGCATGGCGTTATGTGAAACGAAACTATGGTTCCTTTGGAAGCGATGGTAGATTGTATGCAATATATCATGCAAAGGCCATTGGTGGTCATCCAGCATACTACTATAGTTCCAGTCACGATAATAGGAATGCCATTGATGTTGGTATGGGATCGGGATTACAGCAGATTGAGCATCCAGATATGCCAACCCACGAAATCTTTCATATCGTTGAATTTGCTGCATTCAACATCGATGGAAGTCCTGGTTTTGGCAATCCACCCAACGGTATCTGGGGCGATAGTAAAATGGCAGAAATATTTATCTACGATGTTTACAAAGGTTTAAGTTTACATTCGGATGCAAAAAGATTTAAAAATTCGGTTATTGGAGGAACAAGCAACGTACCAAAACCGAATACATATTGGTTTCGTGATTGGCTGTTACCATGGTACACAAAAGGTTAGAAAATTAAGTTTGTCCGTATCAGCTACTACATTGTTCTTGGCAACTAAGCACGTTACACAAATAGCACCACTTTCGCTCTACATAAATTTGCCGAAATGCTCTGTGTCCTTGTGTCAGAGCTGGTCGAATCAAGGCGTTTACCACGCTCCGACTCGACTCCAACTTTTTTCAAAATGTCTCGACCCGACTCACCCGACTCCTAACGCCGAGTCAATGACTCGAGTATTATACGGTTCCATTTTCTGCATTTTAATTCAAACGTTTTTTTGCTCTACTGTCTCGTACACGCGGTAAGATAAGCGCTGCGCACTAGAACAGTTTTTGTTGTTTACTGTTCTTTTCTGAATCCTTCTCACTTCGCGTACTGGTAAATTGTATAAGGACTAACCGACATGCATACAGAAGATGCTCTCCTGAAGCCAGGTCCTTATCTACCACTACTTTATATCTAACAGCTTCGCCATTACAGTTACTTGAAGTCTTCTCATTGCCCAAATGTCACAATTTGTAGAACGGTTCGCTATCAATTCTTGACTGAGACTCACTGTCTTTGTTTTTGCCAACCGTAGTGGAATTTTTCTGTGTTTTTGTGCAATTATGCGATTATTACTACTGAAAAACTTCGTTCTCGTGATAGGCCTCGCCGAAAAGAAAAGTGATTAAATTAAACTCTAAATCGAAAAAAAAAATTCTGAAAAGTGCCTCGAAGCCGAGTCATGCCTGGACTCGACTTGTGACTCGAACAAGTCTTGACTCGTCCAGCTCTGTCCTGTGTAAGGAAACGGACTTATCGGCAACTGTATGGCGTGTTATCATAACTCTAATAGCAGAGTGTAACAGCGTCGTGTTTTACTATCATTTTGTTTTGACCATATATTCTCAAGGTTAGATTGTAGGGAGCTGAGACATTAAATTAACGACAGATCTGCTTTCTATATTTGAGACCTTTTTAAATAGTTATAATCAAAAAAGTTAAGAACCACAAACTAACTGTCAATTTTTTGATTTTAACTTTTAGAGGATACGTTTTCTAGAGTACAGAGAGAATTCGAAATGTAGATAACAGATTTTACTTTAATTTAAAACATCTCTCAGCTCTCTACAATGTTTATTGAGAGGATATCGTCAATATAAAAATGATCATAAACTGTGACGATGTAGTACTCTGCCGGCAGAGTTTTTGTTTGAAATGTTGTAATATATGGAACACTTTAGTACCAGAAGATAAAAAGTTTAATGAGGTATTCAAATCACAAGACTCTTTCTGTGTCGAATGAAGTCGAATTCATTATTTGTTTCCGAACAAACAACCAAGTTAGCAGAACAACAGGAATAAATTTTTTGTATCTTTTTCAATCTTACTAAAAGACAGAGCTCAGAACAAAGTCAAAAACTTAGTTAAAAACACGAGGAAAAAAGTTCTTATTTGCGGTTATATAATTACCGGTACCGAGCGTTCGGTACCAACCATTGGAACCGTACCGATAGTAGCGAAGTATTTTTCATTATCTAAATCTATTTTTGACCTCACAAGAAGCTTTTTCTTCCTCAAATCGCGAAGACTCCCGTCCCTCTATTTTTTCAGGATATTTTTAGTCCTCTCTTTTTCCAGCTTATTGTTGAAATAGAACCATTTTTATTGTGAAATACAGATGTTATTTTATCAATTTACTTTACATCGCATACACGTGTTATTCAGCAACGTTAAAGAAAGAGACAAACAGATTTCTATTCTATTTGTGTCAGCTGTTCCGTATATGACCATTATGAACACGCGTACAAGAAAGTAAATATAAGAGACTATAGCATGTAGTTGGGCTCAGAAAAACAACAACAGCAGATGCGATTCAGTATCAGCTGCCAAATATTGATAGAAGCATTAGCGGTACCAAAAGTATCGAACTTTTCGGTACTTTCCCTGGTACCGAACGATTCGATACCTAACGGGGTACCGAAGTTTTCGGTACTGCGCGAAAACAGTACCGATACCGGTACCGAAGTACCGACAATTCTCAATTTGCTGTTACGGGGAAGGGAGCCGTAAAAAGACGAGTCTTTCTCTCGCTTTGTAATCTTCTAGCACCCAAATAGAACCTTTTATGTCTACCATCAAGTTTCGTTGAGCAAAAAACGTCCTTACATTTTCGTAGTTTTCTATGTAGTGCATGATCACCGGGAAAACATTTTGCTGAAAAGCCTGGTTAAACAGCAAAAAAACGCAATTATCAATCAAAAATTGCATGATAGCTTTGTCAAGGTTGTACTAATAATGTTGTAAGGAATTTCTATATTTTTAGGGGGAGGAACGAAGTCGTTAGTTAACTTTTTCAGACTTCTTTCACAAAATTTTCCAAAGCACAGTGGAACAAATCGTTATAGTCGTCAAATGAATTGGGGCGAATTTATACATTTTTCAAGTGGTGCTGCTGGTGCAAATATGAAAAATCAGGCGAAGATCGCATTTGGATGGACAAATGATATGGAAAAGCAATTTAATAAGGCACGCAGTGATTTTCCCAATGTTAAGTATTAACTTACTGTGAAAGATTTTGTAATCTAAAACATTATCCATCAAATAAAAGAGTAATCTCAAATAAGCTGCATTTTTAAATGAATATTGCAGTGGTGTCATTTTATTGTAACAATCAAAGTTTTTTGCTGATACAAAATATTACTCTCTTTGCCTTCTGTCCAAATAACGGAAATTGTTTTCGTGCTCTCCTTTTTCGATTCTACGTCTCTCTCAGTTTTGCTACATCAAGCGCAAAAACTCCATTTACTGAAAAATTTGAAGGGTATCCCCTCTCTCTCTCTTTGAGAAAAAAAATTTTTTGTTTTTAATGTTTTTTGAAATTGAAACATTTTGAAAAAGAATAGCAAGGTGAAACAAACAGTTGGGAATGAACGAATATTTACCAGTAGTAGATGGTTTAAGCTACCATGACGCGTTTCGACCTTGCTTAAGGGTCTCTTCAGACGGCTCTTTCACATCTATAATGTTTTCCACTTACATGTTGTGCATTTTTTATATCTTATTGAATATACTGAAAGCAGTAACTGCACTGTACATGAGAGTGAGTGTGAAGAGAATGTTGCATATTTTTGAAGAAAGAGAACCGAAAAAGATAAATATGATGGCATGTGTATGGATTATTCATTATGAAACCTAACCTTGAACGAATTTTAATCCAAAACAAAATGTACTTTAATACTAAAGCAGCCCCAGAGACTGGAGAATCGAATGAGAACGGAGTCGAACGAGAATAGAGATCTTCCGAGAGTATGAACGCTGTCTTATGGATAAATCCGTCAGAAATCTCTTTCTCCCATGTTTTAAGGTGTTAAAAGTAATTGATTTGTTTCTAAACAGTAATTCTAAATCTAATTTAATACGTTGAAATGTTTGATGTGTTGGATTATAGTCAAGTTTTTCGTAAAATTTTCTATCATTTAGTTGTTCTAAAACTTTTGATTCATAGACTTTTGATTCTAAGACACCAATACCAACATTTTTATCTGCTGGACGAATTATAATGTCATCATGACTTTTTAATAATTGTAATGCCAGTTGTTCATCACGAACAAGATTTGGAATGAATGAAGTACGATGTGAATAAGCCGATAGAAGAAACCGATCAATATTAATATGATTGTAATGTGGTAAATTTGAATGAACTAAGCGTTCTGTCACTAAAACCACAGTAACGTTTCTAATTACTGCTACACGAGTTTGTCATATGGAAGCCCATGTTTGTACCAAATTTAATTGACACTGCTCGTTTTTCCTCTTAGACAATTCGATCTTCCCGGCATACTAGCGAAATTTGACAATGAATAATAGTGTAGTGTCTCATCTGGAGAGCTTTATGGACTCAACCCACATGGCCTACTGCATTCCTTACGTTTCGTTTTTCTGAGTCTTCGAAATGTGTAAAAATAGGAACTCAGCAAAGTTTCTAAGCTCCAATTGACAGGAAAGAGTAAGAGTATCTAAAGAAAAATTTTGCTTTTCAATTTGTGGGATGTAAGTAGTTTTAGAATGTTTAATGATGACGGCTACCATGTTCTTATCAAAGCCGTCTATTATACAATTATTATAATTTGACACATATAATTAGTACAATTTACACGAATTATACAATGGTTGTTTTGCATAAGGTTCAGATACTTATGCCTTTTCGGATTAGAATTAGAGTCCTAAGGTAACAAGAAAATTCCATTACCTTACCATTATCATTAGCATGTTAATGGTAACGGTAGAAAAACGATTTTAATTCCTGGTAATAGATGGTAAATGGTAACAAAAATTTAAATTCATGATAATAGTAATGGTAGTGGTAACGGATACTTTTCAGATTCCAGTTCATAATTATATCATCTCTTTATTATAAATGGTATCGTATATCACTTACATGTATATAATACAGGCAAACGTTATATAACGTTCGAGGCTAGTCCATCATCCTACATATTCTTTATTTTGTGCCTTGTGCATGTGTTTATGATTGTTTTTCTTTCCCTTCTGTAAGAATATATTTTGTTACTATAGGAATTCCATTGTCAATACCACGATAATGGTAATGATAATGGTAAAACATTCATGGTGATAGTAATGGTAAAAAAAATTCTGTCGATGATAATGGTCTGGTAAATGTAACCAAAAAGTCATGGTAGCAGGACTCTACTTGGAATCGCTTTTATGTAGATGTCGAAACTCGAAACATACGTTCATGGTTTTTTTTGTGAGATGAATCATCTCATGTTTTAATAAAATGATAGCCTCAAGATTAATTTCCTTTATACGCTTCCTTTTGTATATTTATTTATATTTTTAGATGTCTAACTATAAACGTTCTTGTCATTTTCGATCATTATATCACTATGATCGAAAATGACATTCATCATCATGTCGTCATTAAAAGCCTTGTATGAAACCCAGAACACCATTACAGAAATTGTATAAAGTAACTGAAAAATTTAACCAAATAAATACAGAGAAAACAATGAATATAAAGGATTATGTGAGAATAGTGGATGTATAGCGTTCCAACAATCGTCAATTTATCTTCATTATTATTATGTTCATCGTGATACACTCCTGGATACATTAGATGAACTAACTGATCCTGCACAATAAACAACACAGTTTACGACTGACACTGAAAGTCAAATCATCATACATCCCCAATCACAACCAGCTTTAGTTCAAATGCAATTTGTTCATTTAGATCTACAATCAGTCGTCATAATCATGGAAGTTCAACACTTATGATCTGCACATTCTCCAACATTTATCAAAATTAAACAATTATTTACAATCATATTTTGCTCATTTAATCATATTTACTCACGAGATAAACCATGTGACGAACTAAGAAAATTGGCAAAATTCGGATTATTTGATATCCATGCAATCTGTCAACCAAATGCACATGATGTCCAGGAAAAGTTCAAGGAATGGTGTAATACAGCATATCCGCCACGCATATTATCTGAGCCTTATGCGAAATAACTATTGTATAATCCTTGTAAATTCTACTAATTAATTATGCTAAATTATAATAATTGTATAACAGATGGCTTTGGTAAGAATCTGGTGGCCGTCGTCGTTAAATATATTCCTCCAAATAAAACTTTTTATATCCCACAAATTTCTTGATCTTGAAAATTTCGTTGAGTCAGCCTGAGATTTGATCGAGATATAAGGATTTTAATTTTTACTGGTAACAGGCGAAAAACTCAATTTTCACAAAAATGCCTCTAACGAAGTTATTTTCATTTCTACACAAAAACAAATTTTGCCACTACGCTCGGCGTAGTCGATTATCTGTATTCCGTGGCATTTCGAGATTCCCAGAGGTGTCTACTAGGAGACAGACACGTGCTCGGGGAAAGTAAGCCCTGTCCAAACGACGATAGCTGGAAAGCTGGGACTTGCATAATTTTGTAGAGTAACGTCCAGACTACCTACGCATGCAATGTTAATTTTCTAAAAAGCTGGTTTTCCAAAGATCTTCCGAAAAATCGGCTTTAGAAACTTTTCCGAAATTTGTTTTTGCTTACGAAGCATAAAGTTATCTGTTTTATGTCTAACAGTGGAAACCGCACATTTTTATCTGCTTCCGTTCAGGAGCTTTCAAGTTACAATCGACTCCATCCTTCATTGAAATAGAAAGTAGTTAAAGGAAAGAAAACTGTCATGCGTTCTTAGTGTGCGTTACTTCATTTCAGTGTACTTATTTTATGTATTGTTTGAAAATGACTGTAAAAGTCGAAATATCACTGTATTAAAGTAACAAGAATTTTTATTATGAAATTCTATACAACTGCATTGACAGTCTTACGTTTGTGGCAAAACCGTTGCCCAATAAGAAGAAAATATGACTATTTTTGCTCAGTACTACTTTACTATGTTTGAAATGTTCCGTAAATTAGAAAAACCCAAGCAACAAAAACGCTGACTTAAAACTCAAACCTACTTTTTTGTCGAAAAAGGTTTTACTCCGAAAATGGAAACGTTATACGTTATTCGACGCAGTTTTATGCGCTGATTTCAAATATGAAATAAGTTTTCAATAAAAGCGTTTCTGAGTTGTGAAAAATGGCTTTTACCTCAAAAGCCTAGGGTTTTTCAAAAACCCTTATCTAAGTCCGAAATCAAACCGCATGCACCATAGAAGCAGCGTATGTCGACGCATATTTCAGCAAATGTTCAGATACTTTGGAGACTGGGAAAGTGTGAAAAACTCATTCCACTTTAACTAGCTTTCCGAAAGTACCGTCAGCTCAACTAAAACGGCTAGATAAAACATTTTTTTACTAATAGGTAGCTAGAAGCGTCTGGGTCTGAATACATACATTTTATACTTCCGAATTGGTTTAATGTGATTAAAAAGTGGTTTTATCCCAGAGGGCGCTAAAATACTGGCTAGTTTTTACTTCACCATTTCTTTCCGAGAATTCGCAACTTGTAACAAAAAATTTTACGTCATTAAACAGGCCGTAAATCAAAGTATATTGGATACTATTTGAATTCTGAAAAAGCGCACTGCGGCTTTTACAAATGTCCGCATGGTCGCCCACTGTGGATAAATAACTTTTACCGTGCCATTATAACGAGTATAAGGATATCAAAATATTGGCTTCATCTTTTATCTAGGAAGACTTGAAGTATTTGGCAGAGAGGGAAGAGCAATATTCACTATTAGCGAAAGACCAACAATTTCCAAGATCATATGACCTTAACAAATTTCTTTTGGAGGGTTAAATTACACATACTCTGATGCAGCTCGACAAGCTGTATCCAACCATATATAAATATCCTGATAAGAAAGCTTTGCTGGACATTTGAATTAGCGACACTTTACAAAGTTTTCATTTTTTCCTCCTTTCGTATAATTTTCGTAGTTTTCTTGATTGAAGTCACGAAATTAAAGTTCAGGTATGGTTTTCTTGAGAATTTCATGGGGCATCTTTTGATAAAATAATTCCCAAAAGATTGAGACTATATGGAGAAGAACAGAAAACAAAAAACACCCATTATATCTGGATCACCCGATATATTGTGTAGATAGAACAGTAAATCGAAAATCCTGTAGCAATTAATTAAACGGAAAGCAAAAAATGGAAAACTTATTAAGACTTTGTGTTCATGCTTTCGATAGGCACATTTTAAAATCATTAAAGTGTGCACTCCTTTATCGCTCCTTTCCTCTATGGATGTGTTTATTTTGATTACTCTTTACGGCTTGTCCCAACGTAACGGCGTGGCATTTTTGACATAGTAATTTTCAGTTTTTATAGAAAATATAACAGGTAGAAGGATGATTCTACCGCCATTTTCTGTTGTTTACTGTCCTCTGTCTCAGGTAAAGAATGAGAAAATTTGGATAGTATTACGGCTTTGGAAAGGAATATTCTGCGCGTGACAGAGGTACAGAAAAAAGCCCTAAATTGCGAGTACATCCAATTAAACACTAATTTCCTGCGAAACTACTTGGACAAATGAAACTGTCTAGGGCGAACATTTTAGAGAAGCTTACGAGCTATCCAATATTAAAAAAAAATGTCTTCCAGAGACTTTCTCTCGCTTATACAAGACAATAACTAAATGTGACGGCGTGACACGCTTTTTGTCAGTGAATTTTCAGGCAATTTTCAAAAATGAGCCATTTTATAGAGAACTCAATTTTCTATCGAATGGTGTAAATTTAAAATTTTTTTGAAAAGTTTCTAGGTCAAAAGGTTTAAATTAAAATCATTACACTAAAATTTTTATTTTTATTTGCTAAGGAGGTCGCATCGGCGTGAAAAACTACATCTAATAATGTGCTCATATCGGTTCTTGGATAGCAAACAAATTGTTAAAAGTTTAATCAGCGAAGTGTCGCGTTACGTGGACGGGGCGTTTAATTAATTAAAGTTATTACACTGAAATATTTGATTTTTGATCGAATAAAAGTTAAGGCCCTGTACATGTATGCATGAGTTTGTTTGTTATTTTGCATATTTTTAATATAATTCTGTATTATGAATAAAACAAACATACTAAGAACTATTGTGTGCTTGTTTAGTTACAATACACACCACTATTAACACAGGCTTCTCTTCTTTCTGTTCTTGTTGTCACACATTAAAAATATAAAAAATCATTCATAATCGAAGAATCCTTTGAAGTAATATAACTTAAAATTATGTATTTTATTATACTTACCTACATATACACAAAAACAAAGTGTTGCTCAAGTCTCATAAGAAATGGTAAGTGTATTACTTATTTAGCTTTTATTTGATGACTTTGTAGGATGAAATGTAGAACAGGAGAAAAATATCTCCCTCCTTTTTCTTTTGATTTCTGCGCCATAGTTTGTTCATACGTAAATAGCATTTCATACAGTCATTTCGTATGTAATTTCATTTAACTGTTTTTCTCGATTTTGATAGATAAGGACATTTTAAATAAAACACAAACGTCAACGAGGATGATGTCGATCAAGAGTATATTAACTTTTTCTTTGTACATTATTCTGTAAGTATATGGAGGAGGAGAGTCTTGTTTTGCCACTAAATATTTTGTTCAATATAACCACTATTCCTTTGTTTTCTTTCTCTTCACTTATTTATTTTAAAAAGATTAGGCATAGTTATTGATGCCGCTACTACTGTGACTATGACATCGGTTACGACAAAACAGCCAAGTAAGTTAGCGCGCAGTTTATACGGGTTCAGTATGTTTCTTATCTGCTATTTCATTTTTCGTTTTTCCAGCCATGATGGCAACAACAAAACCAACAATAAAACCAACAACAAAGCCAACAATAAAACCAACAACAAAGCCAACCACAAAGCCAACAACAAAACCAACAACAAAGCCAACAACAAAACTAACAACAAAACCAACAACAAAGCCAACAACAAAACTAACAACAACACCAGCAGCGAAGCCAGAAACAACACCAACAATAACATCAACAACAAAGCTAATAACGAAACCTTCTACAACTGTTACCGAGCTTATAATAAGTATGCAACAGCTTCTCATTCACTTTTATTGTTTTTTAGTTTGAAATAGACTAAGATCACGCACTTCGAACATCGAAAATTTCGTTAAATAAAAAGATTTCTATTCTAGTACAAAGGAACTTGATCATTTTTTATCTCGGTTTCCTTTAGCCACCACAAAACCATCAACAACCACTGTCAAAACTGCCAACGCTTCTACCGTCAGTGCAACTTCAATAGTAACAAAACCAACGACATCAACAATGCTAGGTAAAAAACTCTGCTATCAAACAAAAGCGCACTGCTCTTCTAGATTAATCAGTCAAAAAAGTAGTAGCGTATAACTCAACTTGAGTTATACACCTTTTTTCATTAAAATACTGCTTTACTAGTGATGGCATCGCTAGTAAAGCAGTATTTTAATGACCTATTGTAAGATTTTCAGAAATAGTGACCAGTGAATTATCTTATCTGTTGCCGACATCTGTTACATAAGATACCTGATCTTACGTAAGGTATGGTATCATCCTCTAGCACGCATTATCTTACCTGAGTGGCATCACTGTTTTCTTTCGTTATCTTCTATCGCATTATACGTTCTATTACATCATACATTTTACTGTATCAGGCTTTCTATCCCCTCTTCCTGTTTGTAACTATACTCGTTGGTTTCCAAAGGGAAAACAAGTGAGTTTGATTTAGTGTAAAAGATAGAAAGTTATTGATACAGACTTGTGTTTCGGTATAACAATATATGCTGCACCGGCCGTGTTTAGTCGTAAATAAGTCGATGTTCTCAAAATTTGATGTAAAATTCAATTCTTCTCATTTGTGTGTATTTCTTGGTTCTAGCATCATCACTAACAAGTTCTCCTTCACAGACAACAACATCACCAACACTTTGTTCGTCAGCTGTATGGTATCCAAATGCAGCTACAGTTGCCGGCAGTGGTGGAGGCAAAGGTCAATTATCTAATCCAACAGATATTGCAGTTGACAGTCAACAGAATTTAATTGTTGCTGACTATGGTAATCACCGTCTACAAAAATATTTTTTGAACAACAACACCATCATCACATTGGAAACAAATGTAACAGTACAAAGTGTCTGCGTTGATAAATTCGATAATATTTATTTTGCAAATTTGAACTGTCAGTGTGTTCAAAAGTTGAGTAGTAGTACTAGTACATTAACAATTGTTGCTGGTAGTAGTGGCCAAGAAGGATCAGGATTGGATCGATTGAATAATCCGTCTAGTATCTACGTTGACCAAAATCTGACCGCAATCTATGTGTCAGATACAAATAATCATCGTATAGTAAAATGGTTAGCAGGTGTATCTCCAGGTATTGTTGTGGCTGGTCAAACTGGTTCTTCGGGCAGCAACTCAAGTCAACTTCATTCCCCTAAGGGCATTTTTGTTGATGAACAAGAAGGTGCACTCTACATTTGTGATACAGGCAATGCTAGAATTCAAAAATGGTTATTAGGTGCACCGTCTGGTACAACAGTTACAAGTAATGATCAATTACGTAGTCCAAATTCAATCTTTGTTGATACCACAAGTACAAAAATGATGTACATCTCAGATGGGGTGTATAATATAGTTCTAAAATTAGTACCGAACGCACAACAGCCACTACTCGTTGTTGGTACAGGTGAAAGTGGGAATCAAACAAATCAACTTTCCTCACCATTGGGAATTAAATTTGATTTAAGAAATTGGAATTTGTATGTAGCAGATTATGGTAATAATCGAATAGAAAAATTTCAATTTAATGCGCAGTCATGTAAGTATATATAGTCGGGTCTTTAGAAGAGATTAGTTTGGATCAACTGATATTGAGCAGATTTTAAAGATATATGTATTATCCTTTCTGTTATCTAAATTTCTTTCTTAAACGGAGTATCTTGTTAGACAAACGTTATCCTTCATCAAGTAGAGTAATAACTAAAGCAGCAATGTATCTTTTGACAGATATTGTTCATTTTTAACATCAAATGAAAGTGCCTCTTCTTCTTTGATGCTAGTTCTAAAAATCGAATGTTTGTACCACTTTTAGGTGCCGCAATTACGACAGTTACTACTACGACAACAGCGTCACGTCCAAACGGATCAGCAGGAGCAGGAGCAACCACAACAGGTTAGTAGTTTTCTGTTTCTCGCGGTTTATTATTCAATCTACAACGGTCATTGAACACATTTTTATGAGAGAGATGGAGCAGCTATTTTTTAATGATTAAGGGTATATATAGTTTTAGTTTTTCAAGCATGTTTCTAACATGTTTTTGAACTCATGCTAGTCTAATATTTGCTTTTTTCGTACATTGGGTGACAGTAGTGTGGTTAAAAGTTGGAGTAGCAAACTACTATCTGTTTCAAAATAGAATGCAGTCGGATATTTTTTTAACAACTTTTGAACGAAGCGAGCTGGTGAGTTGTGGTTTTCAGTTTTATAAACTAGACGCTGGGCACATATATCTATGGGAAAACAGAGTCGCTCAGTAAGGTTTACCATGGTAAGCCTTTCGACGCAAAATGTCCGACCTTGCTATTCTTAAAACTTACATAGTAACCTACACTCAAAAACTGTCTGACATATAGAAAAAATTTAGTTCTATCCACTGTCACAAGTCCCAACCATCTCTCATGGTTCGGGAGCTACAGGCATTTTTCGAGGACCTTTCTATCCCCGAGCTGACAAGCCTGGAAATCTAAAAAATACCTGAAACATAGGTAATTAACTATGCTGATCATTGTGTCAATGTTTATTTTTTGTCTCTAGATTGAAGGGAGGGACACCCACGCATTTTGCTTCGAAACGCTTACCATGGTAAATCTTATTGAGCGGCTCTGTTTTTTCATAGATATCTCTGCTCAGTATCTAGTTTATAAAACTGAAAACCGCAACTCACTACCTCGGTTGGTTCAAAAGTTATTAAAAAAATATCCGACTGCATTCTGTTTTGAAACAGAATAGTAGTTTGCTACTCCAAATACGGACGTTGAGGTCATGACACTGTATCTCAGATGCTCTTACAAGACGATTTCATAATGAACACTTACAAAAAGAGCAGTTTTAAAGTTAGTTATACTTACTTCATGCCAATGGTCTCTAGAAAAGAGCTGTGCAACGTTTTTTGCAGTTCTCAAAAAAATTAATATCACACATCTTTCTGTACATTTCGTTCTTCGTTTTAGTATCAGGTGGTAGTGGTTCGTGTCTTATCAATGGAGCTGCATGCAGTGTAGCTGGCCAGTGTTGTACGCCAAATGTTTGTGCAACGAATCAAGATCCAAAGATTTGTTGTGTACCACGTAATTCTCGATGTGATGATGACAGTGATTGTTGTGATGGTTTAGTTTGCAGCACTTCTGGTAAAACTTGTGTAACGGCTCCAAGTGGCTAACAGATGTGTGAAATCCACTTGATTTGGCTTAATTGACAATGTATTTGTTATATAAAACTCAGCTGTTAATATCGCCCATATATCGTCGACGATGGTTTTATTTTTGCTTCTTCATTTAGTTCAATATTTTTTTAACTTAAACATGCGACTAACATCGATACGCTTCTCACACACACACACAACTACGCACATTCAGTATTTTCTTCTCGTTTTTTTCGATTTTTCTCTTATAAATGTTTGTTTTTTGTACTGAACTGCTTGATTTATTTTTCAAAAACTTAACCCTGCTCCAAGCTCAAGTTGATCGGTTCCGCAGGGCTAAGATCGTCCTCTATATCATCTTTTTTCCTTGATATTTCAAGTGGTGTCCTTTCAGTAGGTATGTTATAATTATAGCGATTCAACGTAATTTTTCTGCTACCAGTAATTAAATCATCACTAATCAAAGGTTTTTCTTGTTGACTACATTTTGGTGCTTCTTGTCTTGAATTCACTGATTTTTTTGTTCCAATGTTTTAATATCATTAAATAACTGTTGACAATGCATTACAACTATGGAAGCTTGGCGATTAACCGACGTTTGAGCTACCGACATTTGAGCGCTGACACTTGAGCGATCTCGACATCCCAGCGACCTCGATATTTGAGCAACCGACCTTTGAACGACACCGACACTTGAGCCATCGACATGATATCTAAGTGAAGGTATGCGATGAATGGGCACTATGTGATACAGTTACAGATATACAGTTTCGCACGATGATTACATGGTTTGTGTGAAACTACTTTTTGAACTCATTCTCATACTACCCACACCTCCACCTCCCACGAAACACTGCGAAAAATACACAAATGTGTGCTACGAAAAATTCGTGGAAGAGTCGGGGTCCTGTTCGCGATAATGTCGTTCGCTCAAATGTTGGGGTCGCTGAAATGTCAGTCGCTCAAATATGGGGACCGCTCAAGTGTCGGTCGCTCAAATGTTGGCGCTCAAATGTCGGTCGCTCGGATGTCGAGATCACTCAAGTGTCGGTCGCTCAAATGTCCGTTGACGAAGCTTGGCATCATAAATGATGCTGAAATGTATAGATAAGAATGATGTCCGTACTCTTTTAATGTCAGCTACACACATTTTGTGTTTAATGATCAATTATATGAAGAGATTGATGGTGTCGGTATAGATGGACCTATGGCAAGTGTTACTATTGACATTTTTATGACCTTGAGGAACCCTTATATGATGAGCTATACAAAAGTAGAATGAAGTTTTAGAGAAGATATGTTGATGATACGATTTACTCTAGTAGACTCGAATTATTCTATTGATATTTTGTCGCGCTATTGAATGGTTTCGTTCCAACATCGAATTCACTTAATCGAAAATTGAATCAAACAATATTCTATCGTTCCTTGGTGTTCATATTACCCGGACAGATTCTACTTATTTCACAATATAATATTTCGGAAGAGCACCTCATCGAACTCATTATGAAATGGGATTCCTATGTACCCTTGTCTTATACTATCAAGGGCATCCCGACATCTACTATCTCGATCACTAGAATCACTAAGAAATAAATGAATGAGATCCTGTTAGGTCCTTGTGTAAATCTAAAGTTTTCTAAACTTGAATACCAAAACTATTGTGCGAAATTGTTCAGCCAGTCATTGCTATCAATGCCGTACTACTTGATAAAAACTCCTTCAATTAGCTTATTATTTCACCATTTTCCAGGTGAGACTAATGTTTCAGCAGATAATTTGTCTCGGCCGCAGTTGACCAAATGTTGAATACCGAATCGTTCAATAAGCCAGATTTCAGATCGGATGATATTACTTACTTTTTTCTTAAGGGCCTCCCCCTCCTCAGAAATGGTGATTTTCGGTCAAAAAATCGGTTTTGAGATACGCACATGGAAAGATAGCCTGAAGTGTCTACTTCCAGAATCTGTATTGCTTTTCTTTACAAAAGTGGTTTTTCGGGGATTTTGAGCAAGTTTTCTAAGAGCCTCGAAAAAACGGGTCTTCAAATAATGGCTTTTTCCTGGATACTTGCGCAATTAAAATTTTTCTGAAAACACAGCTTTGTAGAGCAAACATTTCTGATCAAAATAAGACCTCGCACAACTCTGTATGACCTTGCATCAAAAAGTTACAGGCATTTCCCTAGAGGTGCTAAAATCGAGTATTTCATACAGCGTTTTCACTAAATAAGAGTTACACCTGAACGGCGTCCCAAGATTTTTAATAGCAGTTTGTCGTAGAGAGTTCATTCTTTTTTTGTATAAAAGAGGAAAAGAAACTACATCGACTGACCGGCGTCGATTTTTGAATTAGGTCTTAGTTTTTTGTCAAACTGAGGATTTTTAGAAAATCCGGAAGGC